GATAGTTATACAGCTAGTTTCTTTTAGTTCACTGAAAAGAAAAGTTTGTGCTATTATTGTTTAGACAAGATATCATTCCAATATCTTGTCCTCTGAATAATTACTACAAAGACAACAACAGGCAATGTGTTAATTATTGCAACTCTCCTGTTTGGAAACTGTTTTATTTTTTCTCTTTAAGAAACTGGCTTTCACATGCTGAAAACTGAAATCAGACATGTCTATCCCCATGCACTAAAGTCAAAATGGATCAAAGATCTAAATGTTAAAACAGAAGCACTAACTCACTTGAAAAGAAAATAGGTAGAAATCTTGCAGACACTGGTTTGGCAAAGTGTTCATGAACAAAAACCAGATCAAATGGGAATTACTACCAAGAATAAACTGGGATCTCACCTTATTGAAAAGCTTTTGTACAACAAAAAAACACTAACATAATGAAAAGACAACCAGTTTTCTCTTAGAGAAAGAACTTACATAGAACATATAAAGAACTGAAAAAAAAGTCAGATTTAAAAACCAAATACAAAAATGGGCATCTGAGATAAATTCATGCTTCTCAAGTGAAGAAATACAAATGGCAAATACATATGTGAAAAAAATGTTCAACATCGCTGGTTATTAAGAGAGATAGAGGGACCAGTGAGATAGTTCAGCGGTCTAAAGCACCTGCTTAGGCAAGGTTAGGCAAGCACAGGGACCACAGTTCAATCTCAAGCACCACATGCCACACCACACCACCCCCATCCCCCACCCCAGGGTGGGCTAAGTTAGTCACTCACACACACACACACACACACACACGAGAGAGAGAGAGAGAGAGAGAGAGAGAGAGAGAGAGAGAGAGCAATTAAAATAATGTTGAGATTCTCACTCCAGAAAGTGAAATAATGTCATTCTCACTCCAGAAAGTATGTCTATCACCAAGAAATCAACCAATACAAATGCTGGAGGGGCTATGGAGAAAAAGGAACCCTTTCCCACTGCTGGTAAGAGTGTAGACTTGTGCAACCACTGTGGAAATCAGGATAGATTCCTCAAAAAGCTAGGATTAGAGGCTCCATTTGACCCAGTTACTCCCCTTCTGGGTATCCACCTAGAACAATTAAAAGCATCATACCACATCAATGAATGTACACCTATGTTTACAGCAACACAGTTTGTAATAGCCAAAAATTCAAAACAACCCAAAAGCCTATCAATCAAGGAATGGATAAAAAAGATGCAGTCCTTTTATATAATGGATTATTACTCAGCCATAAAGAATGATAAACTTAAGACTTTTAGGTAAATGGATATGCATATTACTCACAAGTGAAAAAAATCACTCACATGTTTAAATATCAAATTGTCTCCCTGGTGTGAGAAACTGAAAGAGTTGGGCAGGTGCTATAGCTCAGTGTCACAGTACTTGCCTGACAAGTACAAGGTCCAAAGTTTGTTTACTGGTACCAAAAAAAGAAACTCAAGGGCCAGCCAAATAGTTCAGTGGATTAAAACACCTGTAACCAGGTA